TCAGTGAGCATCTAGCTATATTGGCTTATTAACTTACTAAACTTTTGACGCCAAAACTCCCTACAATAGCATTGTATCAGTAACGCACTATAACATAGTCCACTATTAACAAAACGACAATGTCTGCTGTCTAACTAGTACTCGCTTACTGCATATCATATGGTTCTACTCTTACCTGGAGTTAGGGTACAGCATATAAGATGTCATTGGCTGAAGGAGTACTCCTGAGACGTAAACCATCCTCACCGTACATTGGAGTTCCGCGATTCAAACTTAACGACAACCAATTCTTTTCAAAAGTGAATAGAATGTCATTTTTCAGTCTCTTCAGTGACAGAATTGGAACTGAGAATGAAGCACTGTGACGCAGCATCATATCATGGTTACTAGCAGAGTGTATAATCACACGCTTGTGATGTTTCAAGTATTTTTTCCTGAAACATCTACGTTGCCTAATGTCATATCTTCGAAACGTCACCTTTAAATGTACCAGGATACTGGAGAAACCTTCTGCCGTGGAATACGTAGCTGCTTTATCTTACTGAGCAAACAACCCAAGAGAGTCTCATTCCTAAATTGGCTAAGATGTGTGTTATAAGACATTCCTTTAAAATCCTTTAGAACTGTTCGAATGAGATGAGAGAGCAAATCGGTGAGAGATATGGCAGTGAGGACTGAGATGAGAGAATAGGACGGTACTTTACACATTGCCAAGTTCCCTAACGTCCTCAAAAAAGTAGTTTTCATGTTCGACTACATTTGATGCTCGAGCATTGAAGTTCCCGAACAAAATGTGAAACTGGAACTCCATTTCGAACCAATGACATTATCACTGCATTCGCAATCCTCAAACCTCGCATGAAGCCTTTCCATATTACTTTGTACTTCAGCCATACCACAACCTAAGGTACACAGCAACACATCAATACCCCTTGAGTCAACCTTTTACATCAACTTACTGTAAGTCACAGACAGTGGCATGTCTGATGCAGTGGGAGCGACTGCAGTGGGTAAAGATGAGGAAAAAACTGCAGAGCCTCCACTTTCCCGTGTTCTTGATGCACTAACGGATTTGATGCCGTGTGTAGTTCTAGATACTACACTAGAGCTCTGCTGTCCACTGGTGTTTTTATATTTAGTGCTATGCTGTGTTTCAGCCATAGAAGAGTGACCACCAACAGCACCTATATCAATTAACCATTGTAATTTACATACAGTGGGTCAATGATATACCTAAGGTTGCTTTTTCTTGAGAACGATGTCCACTTGGTTGAGGCTTTGCCACAACTGCTGTTAACTTCTGGGAGGCAGTCCCCTTTGTTGAGTAATCCACTTTCTTTCTAAGAGAGCCAGAACTTGGTCTTCGTGACCTTGACTTATGGACCACACTAGTTGAGGCAGGAGTGGGAGCTGTACAGGAGTGAATTGAAGGCTATCAATAACTCTGGTACAGTGGGTCCCACTTAATATCATACCGTTTAATAGAATATCCCCTTTATTATCATACAAACCTGAAATCCAAAACCATTTCCTATGCTTTCCCATACATTTTACTCCGTTTTATAGAATACGGATAATGTCATATCCCGCCTATTACCATAGAAAAATTGGGCAATTTTGGTTCTTGCCCGCGTATTGTCATTATGCGCATGCGTAATTAGGCATTCTACAACCTTGGGCTGGAGTTTTAGTAACTCTCCATTCTCCACTTGGCTTCGATTAGCTTATGTAAACAGCTAGCCTAGCCTAGCTTGATTAGCTTAGCTAAACAAACTGCATTGTGCGCTATCTGGGTCAAAGTATACGTTGGTATACATAGTATACACACCCGCAGTATACATAGTATACATACCCGCATTGTAGAATATCCCGCATATTATCATATTTTTTGGATGCACCGTGGGTATGATATTAACCGGGACCCACTGTATAGTAAAGAGGCTTACCTCTAAAATGAGTCCGAGCAGGTTTAGCCATTTCCTGGGATCTATGTCTCACAGCTTGATGAGTGGGGCGAGAGTCTCTCTTTGTCCATTGAGTGGAATCTCCAGGAGATCTAGAGCCTGTTCCTGGTAACTTAGACCTGGAGACTGAAACGGTCGAGATAGACTGTGAAACTGATAATGACTGGGAGTCTGCAGTTAATGCTGGAATGGGAGCAGCAGCAGCAGCAGTGGATTGGAGTACATCAGTAGGTGAAGTGGAGTGGGGGACTGAAGTAGGAAATGAGGAGTGGGAAAGAGAAGCTGCAGGAAGACGGGGAGAAGTCATGTCCTTTGTTAGAGACACTTCTATCTCCTGAGCCAGGCTATGTTCCCCAATTAGCGGATCTCTGAGGGCATTCAGGATCAGCCTCCATGTTGGTCTGGGATCAACTTGTTTCAGGAACTCATCAATGATATAGAAAGAGAGAGCCTGAGGATCACCGGTCAGCTGAGGAGTTACCTCTATAATGGCTCTAGATAATTCTAATAGCCGACCAAAAGTTTTTGCCTTGATCTGTACATCAAGTAATTGTCGAACAATGTTAACGGCGTCATCTTTCTTTAGCCTCTTATCTAGGACATCCAAAGAGTCACCAGCAGGTATTATAGTTTGGGTTGCTGCACCAGGCTCTGTGGATATGTTCCATGAACAGTGAGATTAACGTAACAGTATAATGCTGCTAGCAAAACGGAAAGAAATACATACTTTTGGATATAAATAGCCCACATAAGAGCTGTCAAGTCTCCTGCTTTAAGAGGAAACCACCCGTGTTACGGGTAAAAATAGTATGTTATCTCGTTCTCACGCTTAGAGACTCCCACCTGTTTGCAAGCAGAGCGAATCGAGCCAATCAGGTTGTATGGATCGCCTTCTGCAATTATGCAAATGTCTCTGCCACTTGACAATGCGCACGCATTCTCGTGTAACACGTAGAGCGTCGCACTTTAATACTTGCGCTGCTTACCAAAAATGCGTTGCAAGATTAGTTCCAACTGGATGGGCCACTACACACAGAGTGTCTTGGTGCGGAGTGTACCAGTTCAGTATTTTCGTTTGTGAGAATCCCTCCTGCTCTGCCATAGCCGAATAGGTAGCTACTCAAAAATATTATACTTGGAAGCTCTGATATATAAACGCATTCTCTCTCATGAAAACAGTCTTCAATCATACCGCTATGCTATTATTAAGTGGTCACAATGGGAATTTGACCGGATTTAATAGAAGTCGCACACGAAAATTCTGTTGCGCGCATTCTACGGTGTTTGTTGGACACTTTCTCGGAGCAAAAAAATTGCGTGTGTCCTGTTCCATGTTCTGACATGTCAGGTACATTATTTTACAAGGAACAGGATATGCAGGTTCTGAGTAGAATACATGAAACGAAATTGCGCACATATGCACGGATGAGTGCGCAACTTCTATTTATTTTTTTCCATATAGCAGAAAGCATTAAGAACAACTAGACCACCAATAAAAGGTGGGAGGTTTGGACTTCAGCGTAGCAACATGACAGTGTTTCTTTCTCAAGAGGGCGATAGTGACAATTTTGAAAAGGTAGCTTGCCAGGATGGAAGTGTTGGGGGAACCGGACCACTGGTGATTGGTCTCTCTAAGAGATGGAATGGTAGTGATTGTGTGATGGCTGGAAGTAGCGGTCTTAAAGGCTGAGATGGCACAACATTGAACCAGTCTCATGCGTGAGGCAAACTCTAAGGCAGATCGAGAGCTCGGAAAAGGGTTGAAAGAGTCTGCATTTCCACTTTACAAATTCAGCACTTCGCTTTCCAAATTTGTTTCGCGCTTCAGTTTTTATAGCAGGATTTGTGTGGTAAAATTGACTTTGTACAGATGTACTGCATTATACATAAAGTTTCCATTATAAGATGTTCTGTCGAAATGCAGAGAGTACCCTGCCTAAAAGAAGCGAGGACCAATCTATCACTTGTGCTAGGAGCTCTGGGGTTAAAACGTATAGAAAAGTTCTTCCCTTCTAGCTAAAACTACACTATTAAAGGTAGTTTGCGAGGAAGATTTTTTGCTTTCGAGTTAAAGTACCTCTACCCCTAGCCCTACCAGTCCATAATGATTAAATGGCAAGCTCAAGGGGACCGTCTGTTGGCACACCTCAAGCCTGCCCCCTGAGAGATAGGGGCCCTTGCAGGTCCAGGCTGCAGCAGGCAACAGTATTTCCTGTGCAAAAGAAGGATTAACAACTGCCACCGAGACGTAGATTACTGATGAAGACAAAGCCCAGTTGGAGTTTGTTCTATTCCACTCTGATCGCAAAGATTTGGGAAGAAGCGTAAATTCTTGGTAGACTTTGTTCACACAAGAGCTAGGACATGTGCTAAGCTACTGTACAGTTAAAGAGCTCAGGTGTGTTAAGGACTGGGTGAAGCAAAATCGACTGAAATAAACAACTGAGTTCAAGTAAAAGATTTGGGCCAACCAAAGGTTATATCGAAGTCAAACAAAGCCTGATATAAAGCTCAATCAAACCGCAAGTGGGCGTGGTTACATTGACCATGCCCACTTCCGCATCCATGGGATAGTACAATCTTAGTAGCGTCGCTCTCCGAGACAATATCGAGAAAGGCGGTCACGAAGACGCTGGTTATAGGCAACGAAGTCCACACCTAACAAAACCTAGAGGACTTATCTAGTAGGTATCAATTTTGGATAGAGATCCGCGGCACCAAAAGCGAGAAACAGGCGAAAAACGCAAAAAACAATACCTTGGTCGGAACAACTCCCGAGTGTTTATCTGCCAATCCGTTTTTCAATCTCAATCCAAAATTGATACATTACAAACCGATGGTATACCTATCTTTTGCCCCAAGAAATATCGCCGTAGCACACGTCTAACTACACCGCCTCCACAAAGGTGGACTTTACCGGCCATCGCCATCTTTCTAAACAGCGTCACGTGATTCATCGGAAATTCACTCGCGTGTGTGCGTGTGAGGATAAGCTCCGAGATACCCCAGGTACCAGCAGCCCCTCTAGCCTTAGCTCTAGTCTCGGTACCAGCCCCTCTCAGACGGGAGAGAGGGTCCAGTACGACACTAACCAAGCTCTGCTTGGTGCCGGCGGGTCGTCGCTCGTTCTCTCGCCAGGGCCTCTACTCGCGGGGACTCGCACCGTACGAGCGCAGCTGGGAGGACTCAGCGTGGCGCGCCCACGCATTGACATGAATACCATGGCAACTATGTAATTTCAAACCGCGGTATGCGTACTCGCGCGACAAGCGGAAGGCCCAGTCCTTAACTTACCTGAGAGTGTACTGTTAATAATTGGAGTCAGTATACTCAGGGTGATAACAATGCTCCCCAGACTTTTTGTAACACCACAAAACGAAGGTGTATGCTTTACATAGATCTGGGACTCAAAGATAAGCAAAAAATGGCAGATCACACTGTAGCAGACATGTTGAAGAGGAACATGAATATGTCAGGTGAGTTTGCAACGTTTGGCAAATTCGGTATAATGCAATAGCAAAAAATTAACCCTCAGTTGATGCAGTGCCGAAAGTATATTGTTCATTTGAGGAGGGGAAGGCAATAGTGACGCTGAGCCTATTGATTACCCTCGTGTACGTACACTGCAGGGTTTCATTTAAGGGATGGCGAGGGATTGCCCCCCGTCACCCCATAGAGCTCACACGACACCCCTTGCCATCCCTTGAATATGAACAAAGTTAGACAGCCATACCTTGAATTGTTGGAAAATTTGTTAATATGCAACCATGACAATAACACTTCACTATAAAACAAATAGACTGTCAGCAAACAAACTAATAACACTTTCAACAAGCCACAAACGTTTTGATAATGCCACAAAGCTACCACTTTCTTGATGGATACTCTGTTGATTCCTAGTAGGTCTTACACCGCTGGTAATCTCATCAGAGAAATACGCGCAATATTAACTAACAGGGAACGCAAACACAATGGTGGAAAACCTGAGGTCAATTGCAGAATAGTCACCATGTTGCAGAATGGGAAAAGGTTTGCATCCCTTTTATGTATGTACCCGAAGTTGACCTACCTCACGACCGGCATGCTTTTCCATGACGATGTTTTGAAGGTATTAAAGCAGAACACATACGTAAATGATAATGGACATATTTTGGTTTGCATTGTGTTACGTGTTGCATTGCTTGCCGGCTGAGCTCCTCAGTGCTCTGTCTAAAAACATTGTTGCTAATCTAAATGAAAAGCACTAAAGTGCAAACCCTTGGTGAAATGTGCATCCACGGTACCGCTAATTGATGGGTTGAGCATGCGTTTACTCTCGTGGTCTCCACGCTAGTAGCTGGCAGAGTGTCTGACATGGCCTAGCTACACAAGTAGATAGCATGCGGGAGTCGACACACGCCCTTAGTTGTGACTTCATGAGCCTCCAAGGAATATGCACAGAGCGAGAAGCCCAGTGAGATTATGCATATTGGTCTTTTCGCTTGCTTTCATGGCATATCTCTCAAACGCAGATGTTTCAGCCATTTTATTTTCAGGCTCGCGTAGTTCTGCAGCCGATGGTATTGCTAATAGGCCGCCTCATAGCTTGTAGTGCTAGAAAAAGCGTCGACAGATAGACAGACAGAGAGACAAACCAAGTACTGTAACCCTCGCTGCGCATTCGTATCCTGGTGTCGTTGGATTCTTTATATAAACTTGTGTTCCTGACACCCCATGTCGCACGTGTTTCTGCAAGAAAATTATTGTGTTGTGTGTGTTAGTGAATAGGTCAGAGTGTGAGGGAGGGCCCGGAAGGCTTAAAGTTGAAGCTGTAACGGTTGAAAATTCTTACCATGCTCTTTTGGGAGTAAAAATCGATCTGTAAGCAACGTGGAGCAGAGTTTAAGTGAATAAGTTCTCCACTTTCTTAAAAGAAAAGATTGCGTTACTGAAACAGAATACGTACGTGTTGTCATGAACTGGAAAAAAGCATGTTGTGTCTGTAACTTTAAAAACGACGAGGAGTCAATATACCCGAGGTTTTATCTCGTATATCTTTGATAGATAAACTTATCCTATGGCAAAATGATCCAAAAAATATGTTTCGTTAACCAGCAAAAGTTGTTGTTGATTTTGTCTTACTCATGCACTTCTACTGGTGACATTCTAAGGTCAGGGTCTTTACACGTGAAACTCTCTCAGCTGTACTAATTGAAAGCAGAGAGTGGTGACGTCCTGGACAATGCAATGCCCGGTAGTGATTGAACGTAGACGGAGATGAACTCTGCTAAACAAGTAGTTTTGCTGGTAATTTAAAAGATAGGCTAAATCACTGTGGTATGCTGACAAAGTAAGCTGCAGAACCAAGCAAAGTGCAAGTAACAGAGGTACCCGCATAAAATAATACATGACAAAAAGAATAAACTCCATGTGGGGGAAAATGTAAATGAGGCCTCAGAGATAATGGACTGTAAATGAGGTAACAGTCCTGACTCTATGATTGGTCACTGTGGAGTATATACAAAACGCAGGGTAATGGTTTTTTTCGAGAGAAATTCTCTAGTGTGTGGGTCAAAGTGTCACACGAGCTTTTTTCACACCTACTTGGGGACGGAGACTCCTGATTTAGAGAGCAACACCGTCGGTTTGGCCAGAATGACTGTTATCACGTATACACTGAGTGAGAGTGTACCGTGCTATAGCACAGTGGTTTGAGGTGTGCCTTAGTGTTGTGTTGTGTTGTAGATTCGAACCCCTACCAGCTGAGTTGCCCTGGTAGCTAAGTTGGTAGAGCGCTCGCCTAGACTGCCGAGTGTCGTGGGTTCGAATCCCACCCAGGGCAACTCTTCTTCTTTTAGAGCTGTCCTGGGTGTAGTTGAGCCTTGCCTTGCCTTTCTACCTCGCTACCAAGTTCTTGAGACGTGGTTATGTCGTTGCATCGTCACTATTGTCTTGTATCAGTCTAGTAGTCGTCTGTTCATGGTTACACAGTTATACTCCCCATGCCCATTGTGGCGCCACTATGTCCATAAAGACTGTGCACTGTACTGAAAGATTATCCTATTTTCCTGTGGCTGAGCCAAGATTCTACATGGTGGCAGAGGTGGGATCGTGCAAAAGAAGATGGCCCAGCTCCAGCTGAAACCTCCGGACCCGTTCAACTTCAGAACCCGGACAACTGGCCACCCTGGCGCAGACATTACGAACAATTCCACATCGCATCGTGTCGGGAAGATGCCGTTGACGTTCAGCAAGTAAACACTCTTCACTACTGCATCGGAGATTTTCTTCAACTGGTATCACCGCGGATAAGAGGAAGCGATACAAAACCGTTCAAGGAAAAATTCAAGGAGTTCTTCATGGTACGGCGAAATGTAATATTCGAAAGAGCCTCATTCAATCAGAATGAGGGGGAAACTGCCGAAAACTATATCACAGAATTGTAGAAGCTGGCGGAGCATTGTAACTTCGGGAAATGCGAGACGACTTGTCATCGAAATCCAAGACACTGCTCGTTCGAGGAGTCTTTAACTCGATGACGAACTAACTCTGGAGAAAAACAAGAAGAAAATCCGGCAAATAGAGGCCTACCGGTCGAGCACCAAGGAATGAGGCGTGGCACACCCCCACGACAAACCTGCATTCGATGCTGCGGTGACTCACATCCTCCTGAACGATGTGTCCTGCGAAGGATGTTACTTGTTATCGCTGTCAAAAGAGGGGACATTTTAGTTCCCAGTGCTTAACGAAAGTGTGAATATCAGAACTCATGCAGGACCAGTCATTGGATTCTGCCTTCCTAGGCACTGTGGATCCACAACCGTCGACGACTGCGTGGTACATCACTCTCTCCGTCAATGGACATGATACCCTTTTCAAAATAGATACGGCACCAGAGGTTACAGCAGTCTCCGAAGAAAATGTATCAACGTCTAAAATCACCTCAAATTTCGACTCCTAGAAAGACCTTGTACGGTCCCTCGCAATGCCCACTGAAAACATTAAGACAGTTCTCAAGAACTCTGTCATATCAAGGGAAGTCAACACTACTGACTGTGTTTGTTGTCAGTGGCTTGAAGACAAATCTGCTTGGAATGCCTGCCATCACATTGCTCACATTCGCAACCCGGATCGATTTAACTGAAACAGGAGTTGGCCAACAAGACTACCGCAATAGCAGGGTTTCATTTGGGGGATGGCTCCCGCCATCCCTTGGAGCTCATTTGCCATCCCTTGCCATCTCTTGAATTATTGGAAAAAGTTAGACAGTTTAATTTGTATAATATTGAACCACAGCAACTGAAACTTCACAGCCAAGCCACAAATGCTTTTGATAATGCAAATATACCACAAAGCTACCACTTCGCAGTAATGCATTTTTGCTTCGCACATTGCACCAGATGCGATCTCAGAGACCCTAGAAATCCAAATATTCGTGGCGGAGGATGCCCCAGACCCCCCTACACGGTTATAGCCCATCATCCGTTGTTCCTCGAAACCAAAACTTTGCCATCCCTTCAGCAATGTCTAAATGAAACCCTGAATAGGGTCCCAGACCTGTTTAAAGGCTTGGGAAATTTGGGAACACCCTACGACATTCAGTTGAAGGAAGGATCCCTCCACATTGTGGGTTAACTCAAATCGTTTTCCCTTGCCACTACGAGAAAAAGTTAAAGCTGAGCTCGACAGGATGGCAAAATCGGAGTCATAAGCAGAGTGGATGAGCCTACAGAATGATGTGCACCCATGGTAGTAGTGCCAAAGAAAGACGGAAAAAATTGAATCTGCATTCACTCAATGAATGTGCTCTGAGAGAGGTTCACCCTCTCCCCAAGGTCGATGAAACATTGGCCCAGCTATCTGGGGCAAAAATTTTCAGCAAGCTAGACACCAATAGTGGATTCTTGCAAATGTGTACCACTGGCAAAGATGTCACAAAATTTGACTATGTACCTTTATCACACCTTTCGGCCGATGTTATGTCTCAGACCACTGCCGATTCTTGGGAAAGACCAATCAACTAGGAAAATTTCCCCAAAATCTGGCAGTTGACAAAACCCCTCCGGGAACTATTGAGCAAGAACTGCACATGGATAGGGGGATGAAGTCAAACGGAAGCCTTTACCACAGTCAAAGAGGAGCTAACACAACCAACGGTCCTGGCATTGTATGACCCAATGGCTCCAACGAAAGTTAGTGCCGATGCATCCTTCTATGGTCTGGGAGCAGTTCTCATGCAGAAGAAGGACTCCAGCTGGAGGCCAATCGAGTATGCCTCCATATCCATGTCTACAACTGAAATGCACTCTGCTCAAATTGAGAAAGAGGCCCTCGCAACATGGGCCTGTGAAAGGTTCTCAATAATATAAATCCTGGGGAAGATATTTTCAATTGAAACCGAACACAAACCATTGGTCTCTCTATTGGGCACAAAGAACATCGACTCTCTGCCACCTACAATCCTCCGGTTTCGCCTTCGCCTGGCTCGATTTGACTACACAATAGCTCATATCCCTGGAAAAGAACTGTGTGTTGCAGATACACTCTCCCAGCACCAATTGCTGCAGTCTCAAATGATTCTGAGCTACAGGAAGAAGCTGATTACCTGATGGAAGTCAGTGTATGCAACCTACTGATAACTGGAGGAAGACTTCAACAGTATCAAGCAGCACAGGAAACTGACCCAATATGTATTCAAGTGCGCAAATACTGTATGGAAGGGTGGCCAGACAAGAAAAAATCAGCAACGAGCTCAGGCCATATTGGAAAGCCTGAAGCCACCTAGTCATTAGTCAGGAGGGGCTACTCCTTTTCGGAAATGGAATCGTCATTCCCAAACGTTTTTGGACGGGAAACCCTCAACAGAATTCATGATGGTCACCAAGGAGGATGGGACAATGGGAACTCACCTGCTTCTAGTTCACTCGCGACTTTGAACAGAGTTTAGCCATCTTCCAGAACAATAGAATCCTAATTGCACATTAGGCAGATCTGTCCAAGTCTCTGTCTTTCGGTAACTGTAAAGCCCACTTAAACGGAGTGCTGAAGCTCAAAAAATGCTTCTTAAACAGCAAGTCAATATTGACCGGGAATAAAGGAATCTGTGTAGGTTTCTATTATTTGGAGGGTTGGCGTAAAATCTATATTTGTGCTATATACTATGTCACATATCAGAGGTTTTATTGGCGAGCGGAAGCGAGCAAACCTAGGCGTACAACTGGCGATGCCATACAGCGTTGTATGTTTGTCTGTCGGTCTGTCGGCACACACAACATAATGTTTACATCATTATAAACACGTTAAAATATGTTAATTAGTGCAGTGTTTCCCGCAGCATTATAACTACTGGGCGCTCCGCCCGGATTGAAAAAGCCTGAAAATGGGCGTGTACAATTATTGCACATACTAAAATGCTATTACACTGTGCACATGTGTTAAGTGTATAGAGTAGCACTTGAAACGCTTTAGGCCCAGTAGGGGATTTCCCAACAGGAAGTGCTTTGAAACTTGAGTAGCAAGCAATGTTTTTAAGTGAGAAAGCTGAGGTAATTAATTATTCATAAGCACCCTGTTTGAGTATTACCCCGCCGGAAACACTGAATAAACATACACATGCGATGCTGCGAGCCAATTCCCCTAAAATAAACTGTTGGTCAACAGGTTCCACATATAGCAAACTTTCACCTCACAAACAACACCCATGCCCCACCTTGGTCTACGTCTGTAATATACTCAAGTATGCGAACCCCTGTGACAATGGACTCTACTCTGGAACAACCATAAAATGCTGCATAATCTAGCTTTAACACATTCTCAGAGTCCAATGCATAATATACCGCATCACAACACATAATAAGGTGTGTGCAAATATTTATACTGTTATAGTGCCATGAAAGAATTCATGATGACTTCCCTAACGATGCATTAAAGGCGGGCGTTGTATACGTTTGCAGTTTTTTTCACTATACAAACCTTGTATATCCATCACATAATCAACTGACTGGCTCTTCCTTCATCCACACTCCTCCTTGCCTCAGGAACTCATCTGTAAACATGTAGTTTTAATCTCCAGCATCAAAAACAGGTACACTACCTCCCACATGACGCAAACAAGCACTTTATGAAAAGCACTAAAGTACAAACCTCCAGTGCAAAGCATGCACATGCATGGTACGCTAATTGATGGGCTGGGCTATGAATATGTGTTTGCCCGTGGTCTCCACGCTAGAAGCTCACAGAGAGTCTGACACTGGCTAGCTACACTATAGTAGATAGCGTGCGGGAGTCGATACATGCCCTTTGTTGTGCCTTCTTGTGCTTCCAAGGTATGTACACAGAGCAAGTGGATCAGGTGGAGGTAAGCCCAGTGCGATTATGCATATCGCTTGTTTTCACGGCACATCTCTGAACGAGTAGTTTTGGGGAAATTGCCGTTTCAGTTTTCAGGCTTGCGTAGTTCTGAAGCCGTTGGTATCATTTAAGGGCCACCTGGTAGCATGTAGTACAAACAAACACACAAACAGACTGACAGATAGACTAGGTATACTGTAACCCCTCGCTGCGCATTCGCACCCTAGCTTAATGATGGAGGAATGCGGAAATCACAGATCACCTGAATTCCCACAATATGGTTGTCGCGTAACAATATGTAAACATCTTGTGACTAAATATAGGTTATACTGCCGCGTCAATGGCATACGCGATTTAGACGGCACGAGGGGCCCTGAGCATGATGCTGTTTCTGAGCGCAGCGAAGACGCTACTGAGGGCTCCGGGGGCCGTCTAAACGTGTATTTCCATTGCACAAGCAGTATATAACTGTTTAGGGCGACGGAGGCCAGTGCCGGCCTTCTCAAAACTCGTCCAGGTCCCGCCGTCTTCCGAAAAGACTCGCTCTTTGCCGGGGGAAGCTAAAAAGTCTTCAGTTTAGTTTCTTTTTGCATCGTAGAGAGGCCTTTCATCGAAGAAGCATCGGATTATAAGTGCGAGTAGAAGTCGTTCGCGGCGAGCTCTCAGCAACAGAGCGAGTTTCTTTGCGCGGAAAGCTTGCCACCACCCCCATCGAAGACCGGCCATTTTTTGCCGGGCTTCTCCATGGAACACGCACTTGGAAAATACGGGATTTAGAATCCACGT